TTTGAGTAATCTCTTTTATAATTCGTTTTTATCTCTGTCTCTTGCAGGAACAAAATAAAATAGTTCAGAGGGAGAAAACCATCAGAAGTGAATTTTGCTAATTTTGGGAGCAGAAGTGGATGTTTTAATGAAAACAAACAAAACCCAAATCAAATTACCAAGCCTATTTAAATTATGTTGACAGCCAATCAGGGATAAACATGCTTGTTAAACTAACAAATTATCTATGTGTTTGGAGAGGATTACTTAAGTACACATGAAAGATAAGCATAGTTTTCAGTAGACATTTCTTTACAGAAAAACATTTTTTTTCAAATTTTCTCAGAATAGATTTATCTTTGCAATCCACAGCAGGAGGGCTAAACTTTAAAGAGAGTTTAAATATGTTTAAATTAAAATCCCATTAAATAAAGTTTAGCAAAATCATGACTCAATAAATGTTATTTTTAGCCTCTTTGTTCAGAGAATTACTTGTGAAACTATTCATTTATATAACTTAAACCAAAACATAAAAAAGATTAGAAAATACTAAACTAAAAACTCTAGAAACTGATGTACAATGTATAAACCTGAAGGAATAATAAGATGCCAGAACATATTATAAGCACCTCACGAATTTCAAAGCATGGGCCACATACGGAGAAACATTGCATTTTTCAGCAACTCCAGGAAAATAGCATCTGTGTCTTTTCTATTCTGTGAGTACCCAAATTCAAGCATGAATCTTAGCATAAAAACCCTCAATAAAATCATCTGAATGAGGAAGTGTGGCTAAATTCCACTCTGAATAAGAGAAATAAAATGAGAGTGTAAATTCAGCTGTACTAGCAGCTCCTCTCTTTTGAGGAAGCAGAATCCCCTGGGTGAAGTCAGCAGATGCTACGGATGACTCAGGGTTGCTTTCCAAATTCCTCCCCTCGGAATGGGGTCCTGGAACTGAATAAATGTGACCCTCTCTTTGTCTCAGATAAGTTCATTTCCCTCTTATTTGCTGGTAAGCATCTGGATCCCAAGGACTGGTCCCTACCCCTCTGAATAGAGTCATTGTTCCTTCCAGAAAGACATATAGCTCCATGAAGCCCACCCTGGCAGGCTAGAATTCCTCTGTTGGTGAGGCAGAATGGCTTCTTTATTAGGAGTCCCACTCCAGAAATGTAAAACGAATTATAATTCCAGCAGTTGGAAATACCAAACTTGAAGCAAAGTGGTTTGAGCATAGAAGCGATTTGGATCTATCTTCAGAGTTTGGCACTAGCACAGATGACCTCTGAGGCCGTGACTGCGATTCTAAACTAGCCTGAAGGACCTTTTTCCTAAAGTCGTGAAGCAGCTTGAAATCTCCACAGCTGTGCATATTCCCACAAATAACTACAAATGAACCAATGGTTTTGTAGAAAAATAAATGAATAGATTTTAAACTAAAGCAAATCTTCAGATTACTATGATATAAGAAATATATAATATATTTCAAGAATATTATTAGCTTTGGAAAGGAAAGGAATTGAAAAAGAACATGAAGAGGGACAAAACAAAACAGATGGAAAGGAAGAAAGCACATCCTTGGGGAAGGAGGTGAGCATGGAGAGGTGATCCGAGAGGTTGATTTTCAGATGTGCTAGTTAGGGACTGGAGTGCCTCGAAGCCAGCCTAGAATAGATAAACTGAGGAGATGAAAGGCACCAGAGACCCACAATTCAAGGACATCAGGTTACCTGGCTCAGACATCAGGTTATCTGCTCTGGTTGAATTCTCAGAAAGAAAAGAAGTGTAGTTAGAGAACTGTGTCTTCTGATCCATGTCAACAAGGAGAGACCCCAAACAACTCATTTTGATGCAGTCTCCTCTCCACAAATGGAGCTTGGAATTAAATGGTCTTCAGGAGTCTTTTCCGTTTCAATTATATGACTCCATGAAATAACTTGACCAAGGGGAGAAAGTACAGTGAAAGGGAAGAAAGAAGGAAAGGAGAGAATTCTTGATGGGGTTGGGGATCCACGTGGAAAAGAAGCCAGACGAAGGAGCAAAGGATGAAAAGCTCTAGATGTTCTTAGCAAGAAGAGCTTTTCTCCGAACTGCTAGTAATTTTCTCCCGTGAAGAACAACTGCAGGTGAAAATCTTGCACTCAGAGAAAAATGACATTTGGTGATGTGTAAAATCCACTTTCATTAAATCATTATACAGTAATTTTATAGTAAGAGAGATCTATTTCCTTCCACATTTCTCTAGAGAGATCTGATGACTTGGAACACAATCACATGAAATTTCACTTTGAAGCTTGGGTCTGACTATAATCATCAACTATCATCTTTTGTGGAATTTTTTTCTTACATGCACACATATGAATATACACAAACTCAAAGGCATAAGCCTACACATCTGTGCATTTTAATGTGGGGGTGGAAAGTACATATATTGTCAACATTTTCAGTGTTCTAGAAATTTCTCTGGAAGAGTCGTCAGAGAGAACAGCAGACTAAGTGTGCTAAGTCACTGAAGAATGTGGGTCACTGAAGTAACTGAAGTCTCTACAGCCACTAAAATAACCAAAGTCACTGGTTACTAGAGTCTTTGAAGTTTGGAATCACTAATACCACTGAAGTCACAGAAGTCACTGAGTTCTCTCTCCTCATTGATGCCTCAAGCCAGCAACAACCTTTCTCACTCTTATTCTCGGGCCTCTACCTCAGGTACTGATCTCAAATTAACAACTAATTTGCTCTTAAACATGTCTTCTCTCTATTCTAAGTCATGCTTACATTAAGTTTGATAGACAGTCGATTAAACCCAAACCCAGGGACTCAAGTGGAAAGGCAAAAAAGGGTGTTCAAGTTGCTTAGTGGCAGAAAATAAGCAGAGGAAAGGATTATGTTTAGAAACATATTCATACAAATAAAAGAAAACTATATAACTTACTACAGTTAAAGCATAAAACATTGACTTTTTTTTCTCTAAGAAAGAAAGAAAAGTAATTCTCCTATTAATCTTTGGGAAATAGACTTTGAATCATAACTTATAATGAATTCCTAATTTATGTAATATGAAAGATTGCAATGCAATGTGTTCTATGAAGTTTTACATCAGCTTTGATGCATTTGGAAACCTTTCTCTGACATTATCAGAGGTGACTGAACTTACTTTACACTTAAGAATTAAGTTAATATTTATCAGAAATATGGTCATTTTCCCAAGAACATTAAAAATGGCATCTTGGATCAGAGAGAGTACAGTGGGTTAAGGCGCTTGCCTTGCATGTGGTCCAACTCTGGTTGGATCCATGGCACTGCATGTGGTTCCTGGAGCTCTACCAAGAGTGATCCCTAAGCACAGTGACAGAAATAAACCCTGGACATCAGGCATGTGACTAAAAACAAATTAAACAAACAAACAAAACATACCAACAAAATATTCCCTCCAAACAAAAACAAAAACAAAATCTGGCCGCTTTCTTTCTCTGCTCTCTAACGTGATTTACTCACAATGTCTGCACTTTTCTGTCCCTACAAGACCTTTACTCCTGTGGAAAATTGGACATCAAATAGTTTCACATTTAAGATTACTTTTGCAGTGAAAAATTACATGATTGAAATAAGGACTTTTTATCTGTTGAGAGAGATATTGGGGGCTTGAAGACTTTTTAGGGGAGGTGGGTGGGCACCCATCTTTACTCACGGCTTCACTTCTGGCTCTGTCTGTGCCCAGGGATAACTCCTGACAGTACTAGGGATCAAGCCCGGGTCTGCCGTCTGCAAGCAAGTATCTTACTCTCTGTATTCTTTCTCTAGCCCCGTGAAGTTGTTTTGGGGGCCACAGCCAGAGATTCAGACTGCAACAGCCGCATGCAAGGCAAGCTCTCTACCTGCATTACTATCATTCCGGCCCACCCTCTGCATGCAGTTTAAAGAGCTGATGGTGTCTGAACAACAGTGAGATCATTCTTGCCACTATTTCTTGGGGGAACATAAGTCATTATTTGGAGAAATTTATCCACTGAGCATTATCTCTATTCTTTTTGAAGACTGTCATGAAGAACTTTTTTTAAAGGTACTTCAAGAATTAGAACTTAAAATTTAAATGTTACAAATGATAGGGAAGAAGGCAAATTTTTCACACAAAACATTGTACTTTTGGGAAGAATTAATTCTTTGATTCTTATTCACGTCTAAGTATTGCAAAGACCAAGTATAGGAGGGAAATTAAATAATCAAGTCACAAAAGTGTTAGCAACTAACATTGGTTAGGCACTAAAAATCACCTAAAGAACACATATTTCAAAGCTTAGGATAACCCATGAGGATGTCAAAACTCTGAATTACCAAGAGTGATGACAGAGAATAATTATATTTGAATCCTGACTTTTAGTTATTTAGTTATAATTGAGGGCTGGAGCGATAGCACAGCAGGTAGAGCATTTGCCTTGCATGCAGCCAACATGGCCGACCCGAGTTCGATTCCTCCGTCCCTCTTGGAGAGCCTGGCAAGCTACCGAGAGTATCTCACCCGCATGGCAGAGCCTGGCAAGCTACCCATGGCATATTCGATATGCCAAACACAGTAACAACAAAGTCTCACAATGGAGACGTTACTGGGCCTGCTTGAACAAATCGATGAACAATGGGAGGACAGTGACAGTGACAGTTATAATTGGAATAAAAATAGTTCATAGAACCATATGCTTTAGGAATATAATTTCATGGTGTATTGAAACTTTTAAAGTAGAAAGAAATATGTGAGAGGATCATCAATGGCTAATTAAAACACAACTTCTAGAGACGTTTAATTCTTTAAAAAAGCAATGTCAACAATATTTTTTGGTTTACAAAATAACATGGTGTTCTAGTAAAACTTCTTTCATGAGGATTAAGAACTGAATTTTGAGATATGAGACTCAACGTGAATTTTAAATTTACAGATCAACTTCTTTTTTCCATTAAAATTGTTTTCCATTAAAATCTATGCATTTCTAACCTTAGGACAATTGAAAAAATTCAGAATTACATACCTGTGTTTGTTTAGGACCAATGTCCATTCTTCCAATAAGGTCATTTAAAAATGATGTAACATTCTCCCATGGGTAAATACTATTGGAACCGTCCAGCACTATGACTATGTCCAACTGAGTGCTACATTCTGTAATAAAAGAAATCAAATGTGCAACGCTTGAGTATTTTTTTTAGAAGTATATAAAGTGTTTTCATGGCTGGAAGGAGCGCTATGGAATGATAGACTCCAAAGTTGAAACAATTCTCATAATAAAAATAGAGATTTAGAAAAAGTTAAAGTGACAAATACTTGTTGCATTCAATAACAATGGGCTCAGGGCTTATGTCTAGCTCGGCACATTGTGATTAAACTTTAACTTAATTGTATGTGCTAGCATTGAAAATTTTCTCAATATGAAATTTGCATAAGTTATTATTCTGTGTGAATTTTAAATGAGTATGTTATTTTCAAGGAGACTCTCCCTTTAAATAAATAGCATATGACAACCTTAGGTATGATGTTAAAAATCATTCCATGAAGATTATTTACACAAATTACAGTGCTAAAAATAACAGTGAGGTTTGGTTATATATTGCCAATGCAAACATTTACCTAAACTGGCAGTGCTGGAAGGCAAAAAAAATACCTCAAGCTTTTTGGTATGCTCCTGTGTATACATATGTCTCATTCATTACTTAGGTCTTTTTCAAACACACAAGGACATTGCATAAAATCCATACCTCGAACGGGGGCAATGGAGTTCACAACTTGAAATGTGGAGCTGACATCAGAACAGATTCCAGTTGTGTAATGCAAATGGCCACATCTATAGGCATACAAGGGACCACATGCCTTTTAAAATGAAATAAAAATCAAGATTAAAAATAATAAAACATCCTACAGGTCTTATGATGATAGCATTCCTGGTTCATTAACTACCATACTTTGTCCTTTCTTACCAGAAACCCTCCATTTGGGTTAGTGACTAAAGTTGCTCCAAATGTCATATTCTCTTTTACTTCTGTGACATTGGGAATTGATGTATTCACTAAAACAAAACAAAAACACAAAAATGGTATGCGGCTATAAAACAAAGTGAAATTTTCTTCTCATTAACACATTCTATTTGCGTTGCTCATAGTGCAGAACATCTTTTAACTCAACAAAACAGTTATCAAAGTATTTTTAAAGAATATAATAGACAAACTGAGACTGAAAATCTGGCATCAAACCCAGAAAATTTGTCTGAACTCTTGTTTCAAATAACTTTACTGAACTGTAAAAGAATTTAGCACTATCAAGGCAATGTGGGAATGTGGGATTGTCTTTCACACATTTTTGCTAATTAATACAAATATGATGAAACATGACTTCTGGCAAGAGGAGGGAAATGGGCATAAGAATAGAAATAAAAAGCAAATATAAGGTTTTCTCTGACCATTAATTTTGACATCATGGGGACATGAGGAATGTTACAACGAAAACTGGAAAAAGATTAGAACTGTGGTCGGAAAGTTTGGATAAGAGAAACATAATAAAGGGAATACATTGACACTTCAAGTATATATTTGGGCCCTGAAGCATGCCAACCTGGCAGAATTGGCAAGGAGTTCTACTTATTCACATTGAAAAGTATGTTGGATAGGAAGAGCCAAAATGTCTAAAGCCTTCTTAGCAGTGTGTTGAAATAGTTGAAAGAACAACACTCAAGTTCAAGAAAGACTTATTTCCCTGCTCATGCCTTAAAGTTCTTCCTACCTTGAGGTTACATATAGATTTAAAGAGGGGAACAGAAATAAATATTCCTGAATGGCCACATGGAATTCTTAATCCAAGTATTGATTTTTTCCCTCTGAGTTTATTCTGGTTTGTTTTGAAAGCACCTGGGATTATATCTTTAATGATCTTGAAAAATCTGGATTAGAAATTTTTATACTAAAGTTATTCAGGAATAGAATTCGTGCATCAGTTAGTACTAAAAAAATTCTTCACTGTTCTTGTCATAGCTTAAATCTCCATGTTAAGATTGAAAATCTATTCCAATTTCCATTAATTGAAGGGTAACTTCTATCATTAAAAACTTTTCTGCAAAAAGCAATGATAATTCCTCTAAGGAAGGGAAAAATAAGTTTGAAACAACTATTTTAGGCATTGGAAAGCAAGAAGACAAGGCACAAACTGGAGGGGAATTATTACTGTAATCAATATTAATATTAGATGATTCTGTCAGATAAAACTTTAGTCTTACTGTCTTTTTTTTGTTGTTGTTGGTGCTGACCTTAGATTTATTTATTTATTTATTTAACATATCTTATTTTAGGACTGGACTGGTAGCACAGCAGGTAGGGCATTTGCCTTGCATGCAGCCGACCCGGGTTTGATTTCCAGCATCCCATATGGTCCCCTTGGCACTGCCAGGGGTAATTCCCGAGTGCTGAGCCAGGAGTGACTCCTGTGCATCGCCGCGTGTGTCCCAAAAAGAAAAAAATAGTTAAAAAAATAAAAAAAATTATTTTATAAGGTAGTTCACAATATTTGATTACATTTAATATTCAAACACCAGTCTCACCACCTTTACACCTTCCCTCCATCATATTTAGGATATTTCCTTCCCAAGTCCCAATCCCTGTCCCAAAGCACAACTGAAATACTATATTTTGAATTTTTGTTATGAAAACTGCTCAGGAAATGCTAGAAAAAGGCATACTTTTTAGAGGAAACAGTGTAAAGATTGTTCCTTTTTAAAAACTTTTTTTTTAAATTTTATGAGTTAGTTCACAATGTTTATTATATTTAATATTCAGACACCCATTCCACCACCAGTACAATTTCCCACCACCAAATTTGGGATGTTTCCATCCCAAGTCTCAATCCCTGTCCCAAACACAACTGAAATAATATATTTCATATTGTCTGTTATGAAGAACTGCTGAAAATGCTTGTAAAAAAGTGTTCATATAGGAAACAGTGTGAAGATTGTTCTCTTTTGGCAGGAGCCATTAAGACATTCTACAGGATAGCACTATAACATGTTGTTAAAGTTTAGGTGATGTGAGCCTTGATACACACATATATATATGAAAATATGTATATATGCGTATATATATTTTACTCTATGATTTGTTGCCTACTATCTGAACCCCATCAAATGTGGTGTGGTAATTATGGAGAATGGGTAGGAGGTGTCTTATGATGTGTCGCTCGGCCGCGCAGTCCAGGAATATGTTTACTCATATGTGAGGCTTGGCCGAGCGTGTGGGAAGCAAGCCCACTTCCCCCAGTCTCTGGTGACCTAGGGGTCACACCCATAAACCACTTCCTGCCAGCGCCAGATAATCTCATCATCGGCCAAGGTCATATCCCATGGCTGCTTCTCCCAAAAGGGAGCAAAACAGGAGGCCCCATAACCATGCCACTGGGCTCTGTGCCAGGCTGTTTCACACGGGGTGCCCAGAGGGGGGCAGGTGAGAGCCCTCCCCACCCCTGGCAGCCAAAAAACTCCACAACCCAACCACCACCATGTTCAAGGTCGCTTCCCACATGTTCAGGCCAAGTTTTACTGTCTTGATGAAACCAAAAACAGTAATTGGGGCAATAGTAGCAGCTCCAGAGTGAGGGAAGGTATCTAGGAAAGCAGAGTTCAAGAGAGAAAGTTTACTCTATGCATGTATTAGTCTCTCCAAGTGCAAGATGAACTGAACTGTGTATGTGCAGGGGAAACTTTATTTTTTTAACTTTTATTTATTTATTTATTTTTGGTTTTTGAGCTACACAAAGCAATGCTCAGGGACTCTGCACGTGAGAATTACTCCTGGAAGTGCTTGGCGGACCATATGTAAAGCTAGGGATAAAACACAGGTCAGATGCATATAAGGCACACCCATTGTACTGTTCAGCTCCATGCAGGGAAAACTTGAAACAGTTCAGGTGAAATAAGAACTGAACAAAGACTTTAAGAATTTTTACTATTAGAAAGTTAGTGTGAAAATTGAGTTTGGCTAAGTATGTTCTGCTATAATAACATGTTAAGACTATTTGAAAGCACAGAACACATAAAGAGAATCTAAATTTTAAAAAAAGCGGAAGTATAATGCAGTATATAATCCAAAATTGCTAAACATAAGGAGAAACAGGAAAATGTGACCCAACCTCAGGAGAAAGATAATAAATGAAAAGTGATGTGAAGATATTCCAAATGTTAAAATTATCAGGCAAGTACATTAAAACTGCTATGGTAGGTATGCTTATAAATTTGATAAGTTCCACTTACGGGGAATTAAGAAATTGAAAAAAAAGAGCTAAAATATATTTATGAAATAATCTTGCATGGCTATCAATCATTTTCATAATAGTACTATAGAAGACAACGACTGAATAATTCCTGAATAATTCTAGGAATTTTTTAATCATTTTCTAGATTATTAATTGAGTCATGTTGTACTTAATTTTGACTTTCCCATTACAGTTTCTTTTGTTCCAGTTTCTTGCAGAAAAAAAAAATGCTATGGGGTCAAAGAAATAACTCAGGAGTCAAGGCTCTAAGTTCAATTCCCAATATAACTGGGTGTACCTCTTAAGGACTTTGGAACTGCTGACCTGAGAAGAGCCACACCACAAGCTTACCATTGAACTGTTTGGTCTGGTTGACTGGACAATGCCTGGGAGGCCCTCCACCGCTCCAAACAAAACAAACCATTACATTTTTGTTTTTGTTGTTACTGCTCTTGTTATTGTTATGATAGTATTGAGAGGTCACACCTAGCTTTCTTTGGAGAGCAAGGCCTACACCCTGCAGTGCTCTGGGTACATTTTTTTCATTTGTGAGAATATGACATGATTTTCATTAATAAAGTTCCCTAACAATACCATTGGTTTACAAGGGATTCTGAAGAACGAAGGTAGTTAAAGATAATAAAATAAGAATAGCTCGTAAATGTATGGCTGCTCTGATAAAATTTTAGAAGCAAAACCACAGGAAACATATATGCCATTTTAATGCACATTTAAATGATAAGAAGTGGAGGATGTTTGTAGACCACCTCTTTTACTTATTTATTTATTTATTTATTGCTTTTTGGTCCAGTCCCAAACTGTGCAGGCTTGGAGATCTCAGCCCCGGGTCCCACACACCTGGGTTCCTCTGTCAGTTCTTTTATGCGTGAGGCTCATCCAAGTGTGTGGAGAGTGCTCCCAGCATGACCTTGGCTGGGCCTCGGTGGTCTTCAGCTGTTGGGCCCTGGTGGAGACAGTCAGGCATAGGACTGGACCTGCCAGTAACTAGACAGTTACACCCACCAACTGCCGTGTAACTCCAACAACGGCCAGGATCCAGAGATCATCACACTCAGCTCCTGGGAGAGAACAAGACAGAGTCTCCTACCCTATGCCTGACTGTCTCCACCAGGGCCCAACAGCTGAAGACCACCGAGGCCCAGCCAAGGCCATGCTGGGAGCACTCTCCACACACTTGGATGAGCCTCACGCATAAAAGAACTAACAGAGGAATCCAGGTGTGTGGGACCCGGGGCTGAGATCTCCAAGCCTGCACAGTTTGGGACTGGACCTGCCAGTAACTAGACAGTTACACCCACCAACTGCCGTGTAACTCCAACAACGGCCAGGATCCAGAGATCATCACACTCAGCTCCCGGAAGCTGGTCAAACTGGCAGACTACCAAATGTAACATGCCCACACGGCAGAGTCTGGCAAACTCCCCGTGGTATACCCAATATGCCAAATACCAGTAACAATGATGGGTCTTATTCTCCTAACCCTGAAAAAAAAAAAGCCTTGAATATGGCACTTTAAAAAAAAAAAATCTCAGGGCTAGGACGAAGAAGACATTACTGGCACCTGCTCGAGGCAATCGACGAACAACAGGGTGGTCGTGATCGTGGTCGTGATCGTGATTGCTTTTTGGGTCATACCCAGTGATGCACAGGGTTTACTCCTGGCTCTGCACTCAGGAATTACTCCTGGCGGTGCTCGGGGGACCATATGGGATACTGGGGATAGAACTCGGGTGGGCTGCATGCAAGGCAAATGCCCTACCCGCTGGGCTATCTCTCCAGCCCCACCTCCTTTATTTATCAGTTGCTGAAATTTAGTTAGAGTGAAAATACTTGGCATGTTTTAGGGACAGACTTTAATATTTTTATTTTACATACCTGGTAGATCCAACTTCACACAAGGTAATGATTCACCTCTCCCAACTGGACACTTATAGACATCTCCAGTTCTATTCTTGGGTTGACCAACCAATGGAGAACCAATGAGCACCCTTGAGAAAGAAAGAATGTTAAATAAGTCAATTAGCATTTTGCTTCTGAGATCAGAGGAGACTGGGCATGTTCAGGGCATTATGGGTATAGACTCAGTTAGCATTTTGAAAAATACAAGATTTCTACTTTTAGCTATTTTATGACAATTTCCAAACAACTAACAGTTATTGACATAATCATAGCCATCTTTTGTTAATATTTTAATGTTTTCTAAAGTAAGCAGAGTATCTTCTTCAGAATGTAGACTGCTCAAAAAAAAATCCAAAATATATGATAATTTGCTAAGACACTTTAAATTTAGGTAGAAACTGTTTGGAAGGGGATCCAGTTTTCCAGGGTTTGGGTAAGATCCAACTTCTAAGCTTAATTTTGGTTGGGAGTAATTTTCTATTTGGGTTAGGAAAAACAACATTTCAATATTACTGAACTGACTGCTGAAAATGTCCTAAGTTAATAATATACTTAGTTAATTTAAAACTCTGAGCTGGATAAGAAGTCTATTCTTATAAAGGTCTTACATACAATAGCTCAAAGGAACTAAACTGAAGCTTTGTCTTAGGAGTTTATTCTGTACCTGAGAAGGGCTATCGGCAAGAATGAGAACTAAGATTCAAAAGTTTCTTGACATAATTTCCCTAATATCTTCTTTAGGATATAATTAAACTTTGCTACTTTCATTAACTATTGAGGGTGCTAAACTATGTGCAGTAAATAATACATTTTGATCAATCAACTTATTAATTTGGACTTTGGGGTCACAATTGGCAGTGCTAAAGGGATTACACTTAGATCTGAACATAGGGAAATCTCCTGACAGGTATCAGGGGATCATATGCAGTTCCGGAAATTGAACCCAGGTTGGCTGCATGCAAGGCAAGTGCCCTACTCACTAAACTATTCACCCAATCACAATAATTAATTTTTAAGGCAGAGGCCAAATCTTTGGTGAATTTAGAAAATATATAGAGAAGAGCTAAGAATATTTTTATTATATAACTTACTTTTTTTTTGGCTTGGGTGATGAAATAATAATTTGGGGGCATCTTCCAAGTGGTGATCAGGAAGCCCAGGGCCCACACCTCAGTCAACTGGGCTGGTAGTTAAATGCTAAGATCTGAGGATATGGTACTACTTAGGTCTTGAGGTGTCAGAGATTGAAACAGATTTACCAAATACCTCTTAAACCCTATTCCATCTCTCTGGTCCCAGAAATAACTGTCTATCAAGCATGTTACTGTGCTATCTTACAAAACAATAAATGGTTATGTACAAGTTTTTCCTATGAAGAACTATGAATTTCATAGAAAAGTTAGGAAATACAAACATTTAATCATCATAAGACTTAAAATGCTCATTTGTATACACTTAGAAAATAAGGATAGTAATGGAATCCAGGTTAAAATCACTTACTGTTTTAAAAGATGTGATTATAAAATGCTTGATAATAACTATGGAAAAAATGTAATAATGACTTAGTCATAGATTCCTCTAACAAGACCACCTAGAAGTACAATGGATTAATGTTGTTGAAAGTTAAGGTACTTGGAATCCCAGCTGCTGATGCATCCCACAGCTGCCTGAAGAACCATATATCCAAAGATGTTGTTTTCTAGCAATCAAAGGACTCTAATTATACAGCAAAAGACCCTGGACTTGACCTGGTCTTAACCTCTATATTTATTAATGATGTGAGCAAAGATACAGTAAGCATAAAGGTAATAGTCATGTAAATCAATCTTCTTATTTGAGCATTCAGAAGTATACCAGCATTTTGGAACAAGAATCTTAAACTAATTAAACTCTAATAAGCATTTATGTAAATATGTCTGCTTAACTGTATACTACTATCTACATCAGCACAGGATGTGGAAATCCTGACTAAATGGGGGTTTGTGTGAATAAGTCATGAAAGATTTAGTTGACATCAAGTAAACATGAGCTGACAATATGTTGGTGCCAAAAATGCTAATGTGACCTTAGGCTTTAAAGCTATAAATAGCTGTGCTAGTTAAAGAAAGCTATAGCCCCTCTGTGGCCTGCGCTGTCAGGCCGTGTCTGGAATCTCTAAATTAAGAGGAACTAGCACAGTGGAATGTATTTAATAGACTCTAACTCAGATTGATAAGAGTCTAGCAATTTTGCCAAACCAGGGATCTTTGAGGGAAGGTTGAGGATATGTAGCTTGAGGAAAATACATGTCGAAGAGGGAGTTGAGAGGTTATTTAGGAATCAGTTATGCTGGGCATACATTAAAACTTTTAAAATATTTGAGAGTCTTTCATATTGAAAAGGAACAGGATCCCTCAACTGTGACTTAAATTACAGGAAGAAATATTAGTGCATAAGTATAAAGCTCACAGTACTATGAGTGAAAGATTAAAAGAACATTGATCAATAGCAAGCATTAGTTATTATAGGGCAAGATAATACACTATTATAGTTGTAAAAATACTAGTGAATAAAATCACATGGTATGATTAAAAACTACTTATGATCCCATTTATAATAAAATTCTTTTAGTAAAAATTATGACTTAATTTAAGTGAAAGATATTGAATAATAATGTGCTAATTATAAAAGCAATCACAATAAAACCTAGTATAATTATACCACATTTCAGGTTCTATTCTAAGAACTTTCCATATGCTAAGTATTTTAATACTCTCTAGCATATATATAGATATATAGATATAGCTATAGATATAGATATAGATATAGATATAGATACAGATATATGGACTTTGGTGACAGACCTCATGAGTTTAAATCAAGGGTGTATCACTTATTTAGCAATTATAGTTTGGGACAAGTCAAGTCTGTACCTTTGTTTCTTCATCTGTAAAATGGAAGTAGAGAAGTCATCTCTCAATACAATCATGAACTAAAACACTTACTTTATATAAGGTATACAGATTTTGGCTTATATATATAGTAGCTAAGTGTTAATTCAATATTTTAAAAGTAGATGATAAGACACATTAAAAGAGAGTACAATCATTTGAATTATATGTACTAATGATATTATGGTTTAATACCCCTAGTATTTCCAAAATTTTTAATAACATCTTATTAATATATCTTATTTTTATAATTAAAACAGCCTAGAAAGGAGTGCCTATGTTCATGAAAGGTATTGGTCAACTTTGAGGGATTTATTTACATTCATTAAAAACATTCTACATGATTAACATGTATACCAGGTCTTATAAATATTAAAATGAAAAACTATCATTTATAAATTGCCTAAAACAGGGGATATGATTACCATAATAGGTAAGTAGGTATAAACTTGGTGAACATCAGCGAAGTTTCAGGGGTCAAAAAGAATATCATGATCATAATAGTGTCATAATAATATCAATAGCTAGAGTGGACATTGAGTCTGGCTAGGTAACAGGGTTGAGATAATCAATGTTCTTATAGGCCACAATAATAACTTTGGATTTCTTTTATTGAAGTTCTTAATGCACTTAAACCTTTTAAAGCTTTAATGATCAGCTCTGATTTGTAAAGTTTGTTTGTTTTGTGGTGTCTAGAATAAATTTTTGAAGGGACTAGTTTAAGTCAAAGAGAAAGGTAGGAATTCCTAAAGCAATTCAGATGTGAAAGAAGGATCCAAATTAAGGAAGGAAGTAGAGAAAGTCTAAACTACCCTAAACTATCTTGGTTTGAGTTCTTCCAAAGGAGGCAAGGAGACAAGGGGTCTGGTATACAAAGTTTTTTAGGAAGTAATTTCAAATATCCACAGATGTGGAGGTGGGGAAAATGAGAGGGATTGAGAATGGGTTCCTTCTTAGGTGCCTAGCCTCACTCTCACTGGAGAACATTATAGAAATGATGGAACACATATGAGCATGCCAAAAGCCTGGTGGAATCCCTGAGAGCAAATACTATGACCTCAAGAGAGTACCAAGTAAGAATACTGAAGGCAAAATTATGAAAGATTTTAATGAATGGGGAAGGAGGTAGAAAAAAAATAATTTTGATGAATGAGTGAAGAAAACTGGAGAGGACTGCTAAGAGAATCAATAAGGAGGGTGGTATCATAAAGCCAAAGATTGAAGTCATCGAAAACAGGAATGCGAGGGGGAGCCAGGTATGCAGAGAAGAGTTCTTTTCAAGAAACTACACTAAACTTGAGTGGGATGGGTCATAGTCAGTAAAGCTCATTTTCTCTCTTATTTCCCCAAGGAAATCATTAAAAATTTTAGGGGAATTCAAATATATTATAGTGATTACCTGGATGTGATTAAATGATGGTGAGAAAGAACCAATAATGATACCATAAGAGAAAGCAGAGTTTCTAAAGAGGTAAAAGAGATGACATCAGATCATGGGGTTGTATTAGAAGTGACACATGGCCAGTGATTCCCTAGACCGGAAGGGTCCTAGATTCCTAAGAGATTCAGAGATGCCTGAGCGCCATAGATGGTTGGGACTATGTGTACCTTTGTGACAGGCCCTTGTCCTTCACTGAGATAAAAATCTAAGTTTCTTCCCGAGGAAACCAGGATTTGCTTGACAAATAGAACATAGCAAGAAATAACTCTGAGGCCAGGGCTGAAAATATACCACAGATTTCGTTTTACCTTTTCTGGAAATCTCAGAGTTTCAAGCTCCAAAGAAGCTCCCTCCAGCCTAACCAAGGATGAGAAGTGGAGTCCTAAGTGGCAGCACACACAGCCTGGCATGGGGCAGCACACACAGCCTGGCATGGGTTCTTCAGCACAGCTGAGGGAGCAGATGATTGCAGCTGCCAGAATGAATGAGCACTCCAGGCTGTGAGGGGAAAGCCACTTAATTGCAATTTTGAGAAATAATAAACTACTGTTGCTTTAGCCACGCATTTTGGGATAATTGCTCCGAACAGCAGCAACTGTGGAGCTGGAGCGATAGTACAGTGGGCAGGGCATTTGCCTTTCATGCGGCCAACCTGGGTTCAATCCTCAGCATCCCATATGGTTCCTTCAAGCCTCTTCCCCTACCCACCCACCCAGGA